GCAAAAGCTATAAGTACAAGTAGACCTGAACTTACAACCATTAGTTTAATGACTGTTCAAAGCCACAACAACACTGCAAAAAAGTGACTTATGACTGGTCCTCATCACAGCATCCTCACGGTCATGTGAACAAAATTTGGTGGTTGGCAGCCAGCATATATTTATGGCAATTGTAGCATCTTGGAGTCTCTGATTGCCATTTGTGATCTTCCCAGCCAGCTTCCGACAAGGAAAGGCAATGTGCAAAGCTGTATTTGTTTAACAACCATGTGATTTACTTAACAACTGCAGTAATTTGCTTAACCATGGCAAAAAAAGATCTTAAAATTGGGCATGATTCACTTAGCAGATCTGGACTGCAAAATCCAGATGATGACCAGATGGCAGCAAAGAGTTGTCTTTCTGTACCTGCTAATGGTTATCTTGATTTTCCAGCCCAGATCTGACAGCTCTGGATAAGGGATTTTGTTGAAAGGCAAGCTATAAATGCAATAAGCTAATAATATAACATATAAGCATTAGGGATCCATTTTCCAACAAGAATGTTCCAAAACATTTGGACTGTTCATATCTTGCCAAGCTACAAGCAAACAAGTTTGTTTAAAATGTGAATGCACACATTTAAGTTATAAATTCTAAGATTTGTAACTGCATCCCAGTCTTCTTACTCATGGATGAACTAGACTGTAAATGGGTATATTAAGGAGTATCCTATTCAATATTTAATATAATATGGCTCAAAGCTGAGTCAGTACTATTTTGATTGAACTTCTGATTTGCCAATTGATTAGTGTAATCATTTATAAGGCCTGATGAAAGTCATCTGGTGATGCTCGAAGAGGACAATAATAATGATCTGAGGCAATTCTCAATTTACTTTCTTCTCCAGTTTTGGCATTTTAAAGATATGTGGACTTCCACTCCCAGAATTTCCCTGCAGCATTGGGAGTGGAAGTCCACATATCTGGAAGTTGCCAAGATTGAGAAACTATTTACTTCAATCAAAGCTGCATGGAGATATCACAACAGGCTTAATTTCAAGGTAATATGAACGTGTGGTGATGCCATAATAAAGAAAGCAAACCCAGTATTAGATTTTCATTAACAGCTAGCACACATACACACAAACTCCACCATTTACACAATAAACAAAGCAAAATAGAGCACCAAAGTGTTAAACATAGAGTTGAAGTTAGTAGACACACAAACAGTTTTACAGATAGTCCTCAACCTACAGTCACAACTGAGCCCCAAATTTTCATTGCTAAGCAACTCAGTTGTTAAGTGAGTTGTGCTTCATTTTACAACCTTTTTGCCACATTTGTTAAGCGAATCACTGCAATTATTAAGTGAAATATACAGACGTTAAGCAAATCTGGCTTCCCCCAATGACTGCTTGTTGGAAGTTGGCTGGGAAGTTCACAAATGATGATCACATGACATCAGGACAGTACAACTGTCATAAGTACATGTCAGTTGCCAAGCAGTCAAATTTTGATCACATGACCATGGAAATGCTACAATCGTCATAACTGTAAAAAACAATCTTAGTTGGGGCTATTGTAACTTCCAATGGTAACTGAAAAAAATGGTTGTAAGTTGAGAACTACCTACATTGCTGAATTTCATTTACTGAAAACAATAAATACACATCAGAGACATATTGTTAGAATTGTCAGAAAAGGGGGAAAGTGTTTACAACTCTTCAAATCAGCCTTCCCTATCTGCTTGCCCACCACAGAAGTCTTCAGGTTTTAGAATTTCCAGCCAATATGGATCTTACTACCTTAGCAACACAGCAGAGGGATATTTGGTTAGGATAAGCTACTTTATTGCTCTGATTTATATGTAGTCCTTCTACATCCAAAGGAATCTCCCTAGAATGGGGCATCAAATACTTCAAGATGACAGCTGTTACCAGAAGACTGACGCTCCACCATTTTAGAAAGTGCACTGAGATGTACAAAATGGCAGGGACTTCGACTGTAGGGCCCAACTGCTCTCTTGACTGTTTTGAACTCACAGAAGCTCCTGCCTTCATGCTATTTCCTTGGTTTTTTGTGATATGTGCAGTGTTGTTTACAGGGCAAAAGTGATTTAGGAGTTCCACAAAGTACTTGCAGTTTTTGAATGAAAACAAGGTGAAGGGCTCAGATATTGATTGCGTTACATGTTCTTATGGATGCATAAGAACCATCTTCTTATCCCATGAGATCTAGGAGCAAAGACTTGCTGATGGTCTTTTCCCCAAAGGAATTCCATCTGTGGGTACCCTATAGACAACTCTATAGGTAGAATCCACTTTTGTGATCCAGTTTTCATAAACCTGGAACACTGCCTGTCTAAAGAGCTTTCACGGGACTATTGAAATCATGGTGAGTAATGGATGACATTAAGATTTGGCCTACCCATGTGGATTGTTTTGGAGTTTAAATGGTTAGAAATATATGCTATTTTAATTTTTCCATAATAATGTACAATATATCTCGGAAAGTTGCAGGAATAGAGAAGCATGAATATTACACATTCAGACTAACAAATATCTACTGAGTGATTTGGGGGTAACTTATTATTATTACTCTAAAAATCAATAGTATTCCATGAAGACTGAAGTAAACAGTTTGACACTTTCCATTAAATTTTCTATGTACTAAGTACGGACCAGATTTCTAACTCTATTTGTCTAAATGAACCCAATTGAAAATCCTTTTTGCTTCTTCTTCATATTTTGGTGGTGTCTAAGCCTAAATTTCAAGTTAAAATTCAGGTCTTCAAACAGACTGAAATATTCATCTTTATTCATCAACAGAGGCAAAACCATATTATGTAGTAAAAATATCTAGTTTTTAACAAAAGAAAGTCAATTTTTAACAATAGAAAGAAATTTAATGGGATAACAAATTAGAAAATATTGCCAATGCAAGTGTATTGATGTCTATATTTATATCGACATTGCAGTCCAAACAGATATATTCAGAAGAAAAGCACACAGATTTGATTAGGATTGTACTATAAAGCCATTAATTCTGAATTCATTGAGCAATGAAGGTTTTTGTTTGCATAGAAAATCACTTTCCATATTCAGAAGTATTTCCCACTAATTTAATATATCATATTTAAATATTAAAGCTATAAGAATTAGAGCTCATTGCTATAAACCTGCATTACCACATTAAGAAGAAGTTGGTGGAATTGAGTTTTCAGTCCATGTGTATTATTTAAGGCAACAAAAATACTATCCAAACTTAAACATACTTTTAAATTACCTACTGATCTCAATGGGGATTTTCCTATATGGTTTATTCATGTTTATTCATGTGAATAAACCAGGTTAATGATAAAAGAATTTGTTCTTGGTCATAATACAGGTGGCCCGTGACTTACAACCGTTTGTTTAATGACTGAAGTTATAATGGCATTGAAAAAGTGACTTCACTATGGCCATTTTTCACATTTATGATCATTGCAGCATCCCTGTAGTCATGTGATCTAAATCTGGATGCTTGGCCTCTGGCATGTATTTATGATCGTTGCTGTGTCCCGGGATCATGTGATCCCCTTTTGCAACCTTCTGACAAGCAAAGTCAATGGGGAAGCCGGATTCACTTAACAACCATGTTACTAACTTAACAACTAGAGCAAATCATTTAACAACTGTGACAGAAAAGGTCATAAAATGGGATAAAACTCACTTAACAACTGTCTCACTTAGCAATGAAAATTGTGGTCGTAAGTCGAGGACTTTCTGTACAAACATCTTTACTTTTAACATTTTAACTGTCAAAACAAGTCTACTAGGTTCCTAAGAATCTCACTGCCAGCCTAAACTTTGTAAATATAAAAATGTGTAACAGCTGCCATGGAAAGTTGATTCTATGGCTTTGCCTTTAAAAAAAAACAGACTGAAAGTTCATATTGTGACTTTAAATAAATGTCATCTTTTTTCATAATCGTTTATTGTGTGGAAGTTTTCATGTTGACTCAAGAAAACTGATATACAATGGAAACATATTTTCAAACATATTTTCCAGTGGAAATAATATAGCCAAGTGTGTGAATGAAATGTTAAACATACTGATGCATTAGTAGGAAATTACTGAGAAGTGGGAAAAGGAATTGAAAGTCACAATCACTGAAATGAGGAAAACCTTTTTATTATACAGTGTAAGAAACAATAAACAAATATATTCCTGAGTTAGTAATACCTTCCAATCAAATTATTAGACACGGTTTATTGGCGCTAGAATCATGTTTTCCTACCTAAGCTGCCTACTTACAAAATTATTATTTTTTTAAATTATGACATAAGCAGGTACCATATGAACTGATTGGATTGTCCAGCTAGATCAGCCAACTAGATCAATTATTTCATTTTCATTACTCATTCTCTTCCCAAATCCAGGATGTAAAACCTGTTGGTGACCCTTTGCTCCTAAGTAAAACAATTTTATAAGAGGCACATCAATTTTAAAGGATGGCTTGCATACCTGTTTAGAAAACTGCCCTAGCGCAGTGTTTCTCAACCTCAACAACTTTACTATTTGTGGACTTCAAGTCCCAGAATTCCTCAGCCATCTAAAGCTACAGAAAATAAATCAGGAGTTTGGTTGCTAATTAGAAGGAACCCTAAACATTTCTCAATTAAAACGGGCTTTTCTGTCTCTGGAGATAAATTAGGCAATCGTAATCAGCACAAAGTTTAGAAAAATACAACTCACATAGATTTGTAACAGCATTTTTACTCATAATTAACAGTTTTTCCTATGAAAAGCACAGGGATTTTGAGTAGAACTGATACAGCAGCTTTATAACCTGAGAATTTTCTCCCACTAACTCAGTCCAGTATCCGAAACAGACAAGACAAACAGGCATATTAATTTATCAGTCTATATGAAGGCTCGTTATGAAGATTAATGGAAGGTAGAGAATGTAGAATTATTTTAGTTTATATTCTTCATCCAGATCCTGATAACAACAACAACAACAACGTTTGCTGCCTTTTAGAATTCACTGTGCATCTCAGCTTCTTGACAAAGACCTATCAAGAGAGGACAAAATTAGACACCAATAGAAGATCGAACAATTAGATTATCTCACAACTACATGTTTATATTTATTCAGGTTTCAGATGCCCTTGATCATGGTAGTGCAAAATAGATTATTCACCGTTGTTCAAAAAACATAAAAACAAAAAACAAATCCTGATACACATTTTGAAACAGAGTTATTGATATGTTTTTGATATCATTAATTTCACTTTAAGGTTGGTCCAATATATTCACTGGTTTGACACAGTGTTTTAAAACAGAGCAACCATATTTTTAAATATACCTTCGCGCATAATTATAGGTGTGTTAAGATAAAAAAAAATCTTTGAAGTGAACAGTATCTGAAAGTCCATATTTTGGGCAAATTGCAGGCATTAAGACAACGAGCAAATATCTGATGATTGAATCGCTATTTAACGTGATTGTTCTCTTTCTTTATAAATTTAACAGAATTGTCTGTTCTTATATACACAGCACACAACTTTTCCTTTCAGTATTTTGCTTTGCAGAAGCTATCAAAAAGCTATTTCAATTTAATAAACAAAGAACTTTGGTATAAAAATATTAAATGCTCTTTGTAGAAGAGTCCTGCCCATTTATCTAAAAATCACAGCCCCAGTCTTTAACCAAATTATTGGGAAATAAATCCCCTTTTTGTGCTGCTTGTTTCTGAATCAACAGAGTTAATACTGGCATCTAATCTCTGACAACATAAATAGTCTCAGCTTGAACTGATTCTGTATTTGGCGACAGGAATATGTTTCAGATATCTTAGCAAAAGGGAATAAACAGAGATCTGAATAATAAACTAAACTAAAATCAGAGTTACAAAATGCCATCAAAGAAAAAATAAAAAGGGCTATCAGAAAGAGATTGTCCTCAGATGACTGCCGCATTTATTCCTAGAAGTTTGAATTTACACAACCCATCACAGAGGAAGATTAATAAAACTCAGTATTTACTAGAAATTTCTGGGCAGAAGGGAGAAGAAAAGATAATTATGAAACTGTAAAGGCTCATTAAAAATAGATCAGTGGAGAGTACATCTTTATCTTCAAATCCCAGAGAATGTTATTAGAATACAGTGAAAATGTTAGCATCATTTGTATATTAACACTGAGTTATATTGTGTAGGACTTGGTTGTCCTGTCTTGGGCTGACAACCCATTTTGAAGGACAGTCTTAGCAAGCTGCCTAGAAAACGCTGAATTTGAAAGCTGTACTTTTGGAGAAATAATAGATGTGCCAAGCTGAGCAAGTGAAATGGAAGCAAAAACATCAGGTTTTTATAGAATAATAGAAGCATTTTTCTACCCTTGTGAGACTTAAAAATGCATGAATGGCTTCTGCTCAAGCTTTCTACATACATAAATAAATTCACCTTTGGGATGAGAATGAAAAATTTCAGCCAAAGAGAATAATTTTTCAGAGTTATGAGCATGTGAAGCTGATTAGAATAATGGAAACTTCTATATTACCTTAAAGATAATCATGGGTTGGGGACAGATAGACATTATGGCAGTCTATTATATTGTAGAAACAAATTAACTGATACAAATCCAACAATATTATATTCTTGACCAATGTCTTAATCCTATTGCTTGTAAACAGCATAATTACAAAATAATAGTGGGGCAATGAAAATTGCCCTTTAGGTAAATTAATGTCTGCCCAATTTTGTTTACGTAGACTTCACTGGCACAACATAAATGCTGAGTTATACATTTATATTGATGTCACTGATCCTACAGCAAATTTCACTTTCCAGCAAATGACTACAATGTCTATTAACTTTAGAAACAATTCCTTTAACTGGGGCGGGGGGAATATCCTCGTAAGAACTGTGAAAAAGAATAGATAAAGACTGCTTGGCTCTTTTGATTCCTTCCTGGCAGAAAGAAGAATATAGAGATTTTAAGAGAGATCAAAGAAATCTTTTGACAGATAACTGATCCATGGTTGTCTGTATCAAAAAACAAAACAAAAACAACCCTCATCTTTTTAACATAGCTTATGGAAGAGTTTTTGCCTTTTTTTAATGAAACACCAGATGCCAACATCATGTAAACATGGAAGAAACAACACATATTTTCCAGCTAAAGGTTGCCTCAGTTTGACAGATTAAGATAAGGATAGATTCATAGAGAATTTATCATATATTGATTTTAATAAGGTTGTGGTGCTCTGCATTTCCCCCTCTCCTGATGAAAGAGGTACATAGATCAGTAACTGCTTTGCAAGGCAACTTTTTTGTAGACTATCGCAAATATGTCACAGCTGCTAAAGTGTGCCTTGTAAAACATTTCACACAGACTGTTTATCTTTTGTGCTGCAGAGAAATGCGTACTGACACAATTATGTAGTTACTTCAACTAAGTCAATTTTTTTTCCACAGAAATTTCATATTGGTATGTTATATATTGTCCATTTCAGACCATAAGCTGGTGGAAATAACTAATAGCATTTAAAGAAACTTATAATCAAAGCTACAGTATAATATGATTTGTAGAGATGGGAAATGAGTTAGATACATTCAACACCCACAGGGTTTCCATACATTCTACTAGGCTTTTTTATTTCTTACATTTATGGGGCAATTTCTGGACAATGTGATTTTTTTTTTCCTACTAGTTTGGAGGCAGACATTAGCAATTAAACACAAGTGTTTGGTTTGCTAAAGCTGAACATTTTGATTACAGTAGAATTGGAATGAGTATCTATATTTCCCCTTTTTCCTTTTTTGAAACCCTCTCTATGTTTCAGCATTTGGAAGGGGATGTTTTTAAAACTTTCTACTTACTGAAACAATAGAAAGAATGTATGATCATTTACTTTTCTTTCTGAGTTTTCTCTTTAGCATGTCAGCCATATTTATAATCCTGTGAGATTTTACAAGGTCAGACAGAAGTACTGATCTTTTCTACCATTTGTTTTTCCTTGTTTTGTGTAAATAACCTGTGCAGGCACTAATAGGAAACTACTATGATGGCCTCCTCCTTCTCCTCCTTTCTATTTAGTTCTTCAAGAAGAAATTTTGAAGTCTGACAGACCTTCTCATCCTTCTTTCTAGTCATTGCAGAATTTTGCCACAATCCTAAACACGTTTTTTAGACTATGTAAACTGGCTTAAAGGAACAATCTAGCTTCACCGTTCTAAATATTATTAGAGGGAAATAATAATAATAATAATAATAATAATAATAATAATAATAATAATAATAATAATAATAATAATAATAATAATAATAATAATAATAATAATAATTTAATTTATATACCGCCCTTCTCCCGTAGGACTCATAGCTTCTGATCAAAGCTCACCAACTTCTCAAACACTATTAAATTGCAGGAAGCTACACTATCAAAATGGGAATACTGCAATTGTCTTGAATTATGATTTATAGTCAGATAGATGATAGACATATAGGCAGACAGATACTGACCTGACCGAAAGAGCCATTATTTTCACTATTAACTGAGAAAGACCACAACTTAGCCTCAGCTTGATTCTATCACATTTATTTATTCATTTATTTTTAAATGAATCCTTTTTATTTAAAGTCACCACCTTGATAAGTGTGCATACAATGCATCCTAAGAATCCAATATATCACATCTTATTTTGTCAAGAATAAGAGAAAGAAATACAACTGAAAGGATATACAGTAGACTGGAGAAAAGGTGCCTTAAAACAAAGGCAAATTTCAAAATGAGATTAAAATGCTGGAGGAAATTGATTCATACTATTCTTCTCTTTCTTCCTGCTTATTTCTACCCTTTTCTCTTTACTTTCACGTTGCTTGAAAACTTTGGAAGGAAAAGGCAAACTGTACATGAGTTTTAAAAGTGACCATGTGGGACGATTTGTTTCTACTATATTAAGAACATCAATTATATTGTGATCAAGTAATAGATGAAATTTAAATACTTTATCTTTTATTTGCAATAGATTTTTTTAACAATTACAAATTTGCAGACCATGTAATTATTAATTCCTCCCATATTGTTATGAAATCTTCTAGTACCCACTAATTTGCCCTGTTAACATTACAACTTATCATCTATTTAAATCAGCTTTTTAAAACTCCCAGTCACTCACCTATTTTTACAATCTGCTCATTCAGATGTGATGGTTTAGCAACTTCATCCTACATATATTTCCTGCTAAGATTCAGCTTGTTTTGTGGTCTTAGGCGAGTAACTATCCATAGCATTTCAGTTTACGTTTATTTAGGATTTGGCACAAGAGATTGGATAGTCCTAAAACAACCTTCTTGATTTTAGAATCAACTGCATGAAACTGGAACTCCAGACCTATTAGGGCCCGGAAATAAACCCTTCTAAAAATATACTTGCCTATTCATCCAAAAGAAAACAAATCTTGTTTTGGATTTATTTCCTTTTGGATGAATAGGCAAATATATTTCTTAATTCTTTCACCAACTTTTCTTGGCAGGGCAGCCTTCAATATAGAAAATACTATTTTCCAAAGTGTGTTTGCTGCATCCCAGCAATGCAACATGGATTGGCGGGGGTGGGGGAGAGAGAGACGGGTGGGGAAGAATTGCTGTTGAGAAAGAAGCACATGTTACATCAGACACAGTACCTGATTTTTCAGTGCACAGCTTGTCAGCCAGAGAGTGTGACTCCCGAGTGATAACTGACATTATTTCATCTTCATACTGTTCTATGATAGTTTCACACTGTAAAGAGGAAAAACAGCAGAAAAGAACTAAACAAGGCCATTTACACAGAGCAACCAAAGGAATATCATGTCAAGAGAGACAATTTGGTTTTTGTTGTTGTTGTTGTTTTTTGCCCAGGCAGCGTGCTTGCCTGATCGGTTGTCCTGTAACAGTATTTAGCATTAACAAAAAAAATAAGATTTCATTATAGGCTCATTCAAATTTCATCTGTTAAAAGCAAATGATGAATGATTCCGCTTAATGCAGGTTGTTTTGTGACACAGTTCGTTGAAACTGTTCTAGGCATTGATGCTAATGCTTTGAAATGGATGGATTATCCATCATATATCCAGACATATATAATATGTGTATATGGAGAAAGAAATTATTTCACTTATCACTAAATACTATTTTTTTTTCAAAATGAAGAAAGCATCAGTGACTTTATATAGCATAAGTTTTATTTTTGATTTCGTCAGCATTGGGCCTCCTCCCAATGAAGCTTTACTTGATTACTTGGTCTTAAGCACTGGTCATAAGCTGCTGTCCCCAAAATCTAGAGAGGATCCCAGCAAGGGAGAAACATTCTATAAGATGCCCTTTAAAATAATCAGGAAGCCAATTTTTATCACAAAAGGATCCGATTCTACCATAAAATTCTACCCCAAAGAATCTAGTTCTTAGGTTCAAATTTCATTCGTGATGTGCATTCTTAAATAAATACTGCTTCAGCATATTAAGTAAGTCTCAATGGATTTTGTAATACAAAAATTGTCTTCGAAAAGTGAAATTTCAAATATAAGTTCCTTAACATTTTTACATGCTCTTTTATGTTTATTTAGAATTTGGCAAAATAGCTTGGATGATCCTAAAACAACCTTCTTGGTTTTATAATCAAATAAATGAAATTGAAGCCAAAATGAGTAAATGATGAGATTTCTGCTGAAACTCTTTATTTGATCATTGTGATAACTGTTGAAGATCAGTTGTTAATTTAGTTAAAGGAACCAACTTTTCTTGGCAAGGAATTTAATTGGCATCAAAATACTCTACAGAAACTCCAGACCTACTAAAATCCAGAAATAAATTCTTCTAAAATAAGAAGACTTGCTTTCTTTTCCAGAGGTCTAATTTTGGAAGAACAGGCAAATATATTTCCAGATTTCTTTCTTTTTTCTTACAGGCTCATGAGTATTTGTTGATGCGTTTGAGGCATAGGCCAGCTCAAGGACAACTCTTTTCTGTCAACTTATTCTAGGCCTCCATTTGAGCTCAGTGAAGTCCAAAGGAAGAAAAGTGGGAAAAAACAATAATTAAACTCCCCACCATTTCAAGAGCTATCAGTATATGAATTAGCAATCTTTCAATCTGAATGCAAAACCTAGCGTCACAATTTCATGTTTTCTTGCAGAACAGAGTAGCCAGTTTTTGTCTTTAGATTTATATTGCTGAAAATCATGGAAGGTAAATCAGTAGATCTGTTTCATTTTTTTATCTTTTATTTAAAAATGATTTTAACTTAAATGTTTGATAATCCAAAGTGAAAACAGAATGGCATTATCCATGCATACTGAGAGAAATTGAGATCTGCATTCCATGGTGTTTCTTTTGCTTTAACCATCCTGTCCCTTTTATTATTATTTAAGACAAATTAACTCAGGGTCTGAAAAATACCCAAATACTATAAAAGCCTTAAATTTAGATTCAGGGAAGCAAATTAATCTACAGTATCGAATGCAAGGGTCAAAATAGTTCATCCTCCAAAGTCATCAGTTTATTCTGGATCTTACCGCATATTTCAAGGGTTTATAAGCATCAGAATAAAAGAAATATTGTTTATATATTGGATATATTTCCTCATCCTTCCTCGGAGCATATCTCTTGAATATCTTTTTCTTAGTTACAGGATCATCCTCAAGTTTATAATCATTCATCCGATCGCATATATTTTCCAAAATGTCTGTTAAGAAGGTCTCTGACTTTGCAAAAGGAATCTAAAGAAAAAGATTTACAGACAAATAATTTTTTCAGATTTTACCAAAGCAAAATCCTGCAGGCATACATAAACACAGAATCCTTAATCTGGATTGACAGTACAGAACAATGCCTCCAGATCTCCGTATCTACATAATTATTGTCTGATATTATATTACATATATAATTAAAAATGTCAGCTAAATCTAGGATGAGTCTGGAAATAATTAAACATTTAAGGTGCTAATAAAATATTCTTTTTAGCCTGAATATATATATGCCATTGTAAGCTGATTTTTAAATGCAAGATGTGTTTAATTTTTTTAAAAAATTGCAGTGGTATATTTTATGTTGAAAACTCAGCCTATAAAGAGAGAAACTTTGTTTTTCAGTTCTCAGTGAAGTCTTAATAGATTCCTTCTTAGAATATGCTTGGTCTTTTTAACCAAAGCAAAGTTTCCAAACATTCTGCTCCCCCCACCCTCCCCACACTTACGCACACGCACACACACACACACACACAGATCCATCCTTCAGTTAGTCTGACTTGCTGTTCGTCAAGTCACTTGCAGCTGTTTAATGCCTCCCAAGGGTTTGGGCAAAGAAAATAATCACTTACAAAACTGTACTTCTCCCAGAATCTACTATTTCAGGTTTTCTTTTCAAACAGCTGGTCCATGTCTTCGCCCTTTCCTCTTCCTTCAGAATTAAGCAAGAATTCAGGGGACACATTTAGACACACACTACCTACGTACTTAGCGAGGGTCTCAGCAGTCAATGCTACAAGGGTCAAAGAGCACCCCTTGCTCTTGGTAACAGAGACAAAAAAACTTCTCTCCCGTCTAGACAGGTCAAGGTGCACGAATCGCCCATCTCTGGAGCTTCTTCCGGAAGAGGGCGTGAATTGAAGCCAAGTGCACAGTAAACAACAGAGCTGCATCTTTGGGCCTTTAGAAGATTTCCCCTCTTCACCCTCTGCTGATCAAAGGAGGAAGTTATCATGACAACCAGAGTCAAAGAACCTGAATCACAAATGAACTCGATTTTTTCAATGTTGATATATCCCATCCCTATTGTCTCTTTTCTCACGCAGTATGAACCCTTCCGGTCTCAACGCTTACATTACAGAAGGACTTTTATATGTGTGCTCATTTACACAAAGGGGTCCCTTCCTTTACCACCATCTGGCCACAAATCAGGGAAATAAAAGCAGGAGAATTAAAATTAAAGTCCCTTCTTTCCAACCCCATCTCTTGTGCATCTTGAAGTAGGCCTTTTTTTTTTTACAATAGACTGCTCTCCTTTTACCTTGTCCTACCTTATAGTTAGAAACCTAAGATCTAGGGAAATAAGAATGCCTCAACATTAAAAAGAGAAAACGACTAAACAACGTTCTCTTCCTTGCTTCCATCCTTCCTTTCTTCTTTCTCCTCCTTTATTTGGCAGATGTTCAGAAATAGATTTTGTGTGCCACATTGAAGGCTAAATCATAAATAAAATTGTTCTAAACATGAACACAGGCGTGCACATGGACATGTGTTTGCATGTTTGTGTGTGTGTGTGTGTGCATATTCTCATATCTCAAAAATATATGCCTCCCCTATAATATAGAGAGTACATTGCAAGTTTCCAAAGACATCAGGTGAAATTTATAGCCTGACACAATTTTTATCCACCTTTAGGAGTAGGCATCGCAAAGCTGGGTACTCTGACATTACTTGGAAGAACTTCCTGCTAATTTCAATGGGGACTTATTTTTTTACATGTAAAACATTTGCACCAAGTTGAAACAAAAGCAAAGATAGCCTTGCCTCCGCCCCCCCTTCATAATACCTTAATGTTTTAAAGGGATGCACTTCTTTATTTTACAAAGTTGGTCTTGATGATTTGATTTAAAAGATGCCTACTACAACAATGTAATAATAATGAAAGTTTAGGAAGTTTGATCAAGGCTGCGTCTACAGTATACTCAGATGTTCTTTAGCTATAAGGGTCTTAACTGACTTGGCTGCAAATAAATACGATTAATAATATTTAGGCCCATTTATCACAATGCTTAAACATATCTTCTTCCTGTGTATTGATGGTGGGCAAAGCACTTAAGACCTACTTCTAAGTAGACCTCCTATGACTGAACTCGCACCAACCATGATAAATTAAAATAGAAGGATGAAGCTATTACACAGAGTGGCTTCAAACTGTGCTGTTTTTCAGAGGACTATTTTAAACAACAACAACAACAAAAGATTTGCAGTGTTTTCTGAAAAAGCAGATAGGATATTTAGCTAAGATTTGGGGAAGGAGGATATTTTTGATGCATATATCCAAGCCAATGAAAGGCGCTGAGGTATCAAACATAAAGAAAAAGTACAACAAACATTTGAGAATTGCTTTAGGCTTGAAGCATATAATTGGATACATATTAAGGTAATCAGAATATAGGTAAGGCTATACTTCAATCTGAGCCTAAAAATCTTTGTATTCCTTTGAAATAAGCATGTATCAAGAGATGCTGAATTATACCAGATACATTAGCACATTTCTGAATATACAAAGTCTTCAAGAAACAGTGAATGATCTAGTCTGATGCCTGACATGTATACAGAAAGTTCCTACTCCAAAAGAATGTTTGGTGATACTGACCTTATAGACATATAAGATATGTACAGAATAATTTGTGCAGGCATGTAGAAAAAAGAAGTATACACTTCACACACCCCAATATATTTCTGAGGGACTTGCTTGCTTTCATGGCCATTTTCAATAACCTATTTTTATATTTAACAAAGTAGCTATAATAAATAAAATCCCAATGTTTCTTCTCTTCTCTCATCCCCAACTATTTAAAACGACCATAACTAAATTTAACACAAGATATCCAGATGGTTTTCTTGTTTTAAAAACAAACTCCTAAGGAGAGTAAACTCTCTTTTAGCAGAGTTTTGCGTGCAAGGAGATACAGCAGGCCAGATTATATTTTCACCAAAATTCATACACACATTAATAGATGAGGTTCTTATACCAATTCAAGACGGGCAATAGCACCCCTGCTTTTGTATAATTTTCTTGGTTCCTGAGTTAAGGGGGCTTCCCTAGAAGGCCACTAGAATTTATATTTCTACTTGTATAGTAGTTTCCAGTTTTGAGAAAGATATATCAAATAACCACCCGTGCAAAACCACCCCTCCCAAAGTTAAGTATACTTTAAAATTGCTTTAATAATAAAATAGAAGGGGGGAGTTGGACAAGGGGCAGAAACCAAAAGCAATTCTATGAAAGCCCTAAAGATTCTGAATGGTGCTTGTCAATAGACAGCTCCCATTGTAATCACCCAGGAGATGTGGGGGCCTCCACCCTGAAAAAGCTGCCTCAGAGATAGTAACCTCATTAAAATATGAATAACAAGTCAGCCGTCATTCAAAAGAAAGAAAGGCATCTTATTCTGCATCAAATTTCGCCATCATTTCAAACAACCACAACAGAACAACACTCCCCTCAAAAAAACCCCCAAAAAACTCCTCCATTTCCCTAACTGGATGTTTGTCGCATGTGGAAACGATGTTAGCAGCGGAGTGGATTAAGCCTAAACATTTTCAAAGAAATCACTTGTGTTGCCAATCTTTTAGAGCATGCCGATCACATCTTTAAAAAAAGGGGTTAAAAAAAAAAAGGAAGACTCTCAAACCAGCGGTCAGATGGTCTTTCCAAAAATGCAGAATGTAAAAGAAGAGGAAAAAAGTTAACATCAACACACCTCGCGGGAGGAAGAATGGAAAGACACAACAATTCCAAGATATTTTAGCCAATTTTAAGCCGCAGGATGGAGAATTCATTACAAGCAACAATGACACCTTCATAACAGTCAATTACATGGAAGCTCATGATTCAGTTCATTACTGTGTCTCTCCTAATCTCATCGTAAATTTCTGCCTTGATAGAGAATGCAACTCGCCAAGAATGCAATTGGGATGTGGAAAGAAAAATAAAAACATAACTGCTACAGATGGACAGCTTCCAAAACCCAGATAACCCACCAAATATTTCTGAACACTATTTTCCATGTAAGAATTTTTCCCTCTCTTCTATCTAGGTTTCACTATATATGATTTATGCATGCTTGCAAGGGTGTATCTCTACAATCACCTATAAGTAGGCACATCTAGAAGTAGATCCATACAGAAGTGAATAGAAGTATACATCTACATTTATCTTCCACGCAGATAAATCACCAGCTTTCTCATTGGGAACAATATTCCAATTTTCAATATTTATTAAGGGTCAGTATTTAAAAATGAAAACTCAATTGTTCACCTCCCCCCTACCCTATTTGCTTTAGGCTAGTGCAGGAGAAACATGAATGCTGAACCACTCAAAAGGCTGATGGGATATATAATTAGCTATTATGTTAATTGAATCCACTGTGAGTTTATTGTATGAGATTTCTTCATATAATATGCAAATGATCTCTAAGGTTTAGTTTTATTAGACAATATAATTAGAAATCCTTTTAAAAGAGAGAATTCTAATGAGGTACAATAAAGGTTAGGAAAATATGTTTGCTATGTTGAGTTACCACCTGGGCTTGCTTAATTAAAATGAAAAGAGAGAGAAAAACTTTGCACACCAACTAAACCACCTCCTGCACACACACATTACACAAATGCAAAGTTTAAAACCTTAATTGTTACACTTTAGAAATTTGATTTAAAATAAAATAAACCATTTACTTGTCTTTTACAATCCTTTACCATTGATTCATAATCCAACAAGGTTTCATTCATTCTCCATCTATATTCTCTAGATTTCTTCTTAAGAGTCCAGGTCATTGGGTTATGACCAGTAATAAAAAAAGTTCTTAGTAATACCTGTTTTCCTATCCAGCTAAAGAGATTCTTGGAGATCCAGGCTATATCAATTCTTGACATTGGATGAGAAATGTTTTGACCTGTTTGAGCCTGGCATTTTTAATTTTCATGTTCAATTTTCAAAATAAAGCCACAGGTCCAGCTATACATGCAAG